GGCCTCTGCCGGTCGCAGACTCACCCCGAGCTTATGTAACTGGCCATAACAGTTCCCGCGGCACGCCGAGTGGGCCGGCAGCTAGTACTGCGGCGCGTTCAGCCCCGTTACCAGATGATTTCATTAGTCGAATGTGCTGTGTCGGCGGCCGTAGCGCGCCGACCTGACCGAGGGGTCAGCGCCGACCCCGGATGGGTACTGCACACGCCACAGCGCGGTCCCGCCGCCCCGGCCGCGCTGCACACCCAAACGTGCCCTCCAATCACACTAATAGCCCAATCACTCATCGGAAATCACTTGTAAAGAAGGGAAACATCGCATCAGCCACCGCCGACTGATCATTATGTGTCTTCATCGCCGGTAAACCGTTGGAGCCGCTGTACGAATCACGCTCTGATTGTATTTGAAAATGACGTGATGCAAACAATTGCATATTCATGAGTTACTTCACTTGAATCGCTTGTCTCACTTGTTTATAAGGTACCACTCGTATCCATCCGAATGTTTTGATCAATGCAGCTATACAATAATGACCTTAAATGTTTGCTTGTATTTATATTTCTTTTTAACAGGCCTACGTTAATAGAACTATTAACTTTCTTAACTTTAAGAAAGTGTAAGCTAGCAATCGGTAGATGTATTTCTGTATGACTTATCATTCCAGGATGGCACAGGTAAAGCAGCACCCGAGATCGTTTCCAGGCCATGGTTTATGCTAAGACTTCTCACTATACATAGGTAGGTATAGGCTTAGATTCATGACATCTTGAAGCGTACCTACAAGTGCCTATAAATACTAGGCACTGGTAAGTGCTGATAGATTTGTGAGGATTGCTTGAAGGAGATATTTTGTGGTGTTCATGCAACTACATGCAGGCATCTACCCCAAAACCACATGCAACCACAGCATGGCTGCATCAATTTAAACACGTACACCTATGTGTAGCGGTCACGATTCAATATGCATGCAGCCCAGTCAGCACTATTGACATGTCACCTACACCATACATAGCTGACACGTTCAATACCCAGCTGATCGGTCGTGTACGCGTCCCGTGTCGATTTCCATTAGTGGATTGTAAGCCGGCGCTCCGTGACAGAGGTGGGGCGCGGCGAGCGCCGCTAGCAGCGTCACGGCACAGTCCCCAGCCCGCCACCCCACCCCACCACACCCGCGGCTGATAGAGCGGTAAATCGCACACGGCACCAGCTAACGCTGATCCGCGGCGACTTTTATTGAGTCAGCCGGTCAGAGGACAAAATCGGCCGGCGCCGGGTCAGGTGATTTACGGGCCAGTTGGTGAACCGATAGCTGTGTGCCCACTGGCGCAGTGCATGACTGAGCCGACCTGACGGCCCGTCCGGCGGACTGGTGACAGTGGACAAAGGTGACAGACAGTGGATACAGGTGACAGTAGATACAGGTGACAGTGGATACATGTGACCGTGGATACAGGTGACAGTGGATACATGCGACCGTGGATACAGGTGACAGTGGACAGAGGTGACCGTGGATACAGGTGACAGCGGACAGAGGCGACCGTGGATACAGGTGACAGTGGACAGAGGCGACCGTGGATACAAGTGACAGTGGACAGAGGCGACCGTGGATACAGGTGACAGTGGACAGAGGCGACCGTGGATACAGGTGACAGTGGATATAGGCGACCGTGGATACAGGTGACAGTGGACAGAGGCGACAGTGGATACAAGTGACAGTGGACAGAGGCGACAGTGGATACAAGTGACAGTGGATAGAGGCGACAGTGGACAGTGGACCTAGGTGACAGATTATAGAGGTGGCAGTGGACACTGGACAGCGGTGGCGGTGGACAGAGGTGAACTGTGGACAGAAGTGGCAGTGGAGACGGTGGACAGAGGTGACACTGGACAGTGGCCACATGTGACAGTGGATAAGGGTGGCAGCGGACGGTTTAAAGGGGTGAAAGTTTCCCAGTTGCCATTTTTACGCACTACCTATGACCCGTTTTTAACATTTTACGAACGAACGAATTAAATGGTTTTAGGCTGTGTTCCAGCATAGTTACTATTAACAATAAACACAATACGATGGTGACCTGATTTATTTCCTATCCACAACAGCTACTTCACGTCCATGATCCTACAGTTGATGGCCGATGTGAGCACGAACACTGTCATCTGTCATGTGAGTGCCGGACGCCTGGTGATTCCTGTGGACCGAGAAACTAATTATGCGAATTAGCACTTATATGTTCGTTCAAATCATGACAAATTTGCAGCTGCAGTGTGAATTATTTCACTTCCGAGCTAGGTCACCCCATCTAAATGCTTTCACGAAAGCCATCGGGACTAAGGTGTTAAATAAGTAATTTGGTAGCGTATTAGCCACCTTTATTAGGGGCTAAGCAATAATTGCTACTATTCTGAGACTGGTGGATTCTCCCAGCAAGATTTATGAAGATGTATTATAACAGCTTTTCGTCCGGGTTCAGCCCACCAAATGGCCTGTGCATTGGCCTAGATTGATAGATGGGTAATATATAATACTGAACGAGGCCGGTGTAAATAAATTTTCAAGACCGAGGTCCTTACTGGATTTTTGAACGAGGCCGAAGGCCGAGTTCAAAAATCAGTAAGGACTGAGGTCTTGAAAATTTATCACCGGCCGAGTTTGGTATGTATTTTACTGTATGCCAACGATAAATTTATTTTCTGGACCGAAGCTCTTAGCCGACTTAGGAACGAGACCATCCCAAAATGTTGGCTTAAGTGCATTCTGGTAATGCATTTTTGACCGTGGTCAATTTGCTTACACCAGTTATTACCACACCCCTCTGGCTAATGTATTTGAATAGGCCAGGCATACAGTAAAACCAAAGAAAAACGGCGAACAGGATTCGATTGTCTTTGACTTTTATTTCTCCCCAGGGTCTTAACGGGGCAAGACTTATTTATGGTGAACACTTTTCCAATCAACACACATTCTTGTACACCATTAACTATTTTTACCAAGACATTTAACCCTATTAGTGGCAGGCTCCTGGCTACCCCTATTAGTGACAGGGGGGCTGTTTACGACCCCCCCTTGATATCTCGAGACCTAACGGGCCGATTTTCAAAATTCAAACGGCATTCGATTTCGCTCAACGTGATCTACATTTCTAAAAAATAAAAATTAAAAAATGTCAATAGGGGGGTAGAGGGGGTAAAAACGGGCAAATTGCAGATACATTTTAGACTGCTTATCACGGCCAGGTTTCTGAACCAATCTTAACGCAACTTTTGCCGATCAATAGAAAATGAACCAGGAATTCACATGGATCCTAAAAATATGCATTTTCAAAAAACATAGGCGGATACAGATCATTGAGATTGGGGGTACACAAAAAGTATAGTAAATAAGGTTTTTGTTGGTACTGTTTCTAAAAAGGGTGGTAATGGTCTTGTTATGTTACAATTTTCTTATGAGAGAACGACTACAATTGTATTGGTCATGCATAGGCGGTGTCAGGGCACCTATGTTGGGAGGTAAAACATAACCCCCCTTTTTGGACGCCTGGATCCGCCTATTCTAGCAAAAACGTGTCAAAAGAGGGTTATCACATGATACCTTTCATTCACTGTTCGTAAAACTGGTGCAGCATCGTGATCTTCGCCCAAATGACTCGCTTCACGAATAGGACCCCCCAATTCCCAGTGCTCTGGAGCCGCCCCTGGTAAAGTTATGAACTTGCAATTTTCAGGGAATGTGCCCAATTTAGTTTTAGGAAAAGTCAGAAAATTTCAGCATCGTAGCTTCAGCGGTTTCGGAGATATTCCCGAAAAACCTGAGGGGTGGATAAAAACAACCCCCGCCACTAATAGGGTTAAAGTTCAAATATGCATCAACAGTTACAAATCGCGTAAACTTATTCACATTGCATAGTGAGATACAACAGCCGAAACGTGTCCCAAATATAAATAAGAACATGGCAAATTGATACTTCCTATTGGTTATGTCACATACCGTAGAAATCGTTTCACGATGGGTCATTTGTGGGAAGTGTAATAGCTCCGGGAAGTGTGCAGTACCCGTCACTGACAGGTGCGATATCTTCTCGTAGCCGCTGGGTGTTGATCGCGCCAATTAGGCCGGTGACAATTGTGGCGCGGCTCTAAAAGGCGCCGCGCCGTAAACCGGCCGGCCGCTGCACGGTTCTGTATGGCCGCTGGCCGGCTGTTTGACAGTGTCCGCGCTGCGCCTCAATGGCTAATCGAGACAATTGTCTACCAGTCGGGTCACAGCGCGAACTGCAGCCATAAAGAGCAGATGGCTGGTGGAGAATGGCGAGCAGAATGCTCCGCAATGGGTAGGAGACATTACGATGCGGGCTTCCCCATGGGTAGTATCAGGTGGCCAAATATGTACTGGACCCTGCCACACGATCGGCCCTCTACGATTCACTCACCTCACGCACTGCTGCTTCGATATAATCGGCAGGGTTTTCATTCCTTGGATCCTGCCAGTTCCGTCAAGGTAGCAGTTCTTCGTCGCAAGGCTACTCCTCGGTCCTCAGTTGTCTTTTTGTGTGTGTGGTAGGCACGGCCATGTTCTTTCGGGCTCTGGAAAAACCGCCCCCCTCCCTCGCCAATAGACTTGCATGCCAATGCATGACGCGTTTAAGTGGCTGCCGATCTCGGACGTTCACGAGTTTGTTACCGTGGAAATTCACGAGCCGACCTTAGCTGGTTGCCGGCTGCGTGCATTGCGCCACGCACGCGGAGTCCGCGAGCCGCAATCTCGTGACGCCCGACCGCCGGCACCATACGGGTGAAAATAGCCAGTGCGGCGGCGCTCGATCGACCTTACCGACTCCATGCTCGGCCCAGTCATGTCCAGTGTGTCCATCGAGGCGTTTAATTCATATTTAAACCATGCTGAACAGACGACAGCCAGCAGTGGCCAGTGTAGCACAGTTCAGTGCTGTGGCAGCACATACCACTCACTCCGTCGTGTTAAATTCGCCGAGTTTGACAGCGGCCACCACCATGGCGCTGGCCAGGGGCGTCCTCCTGGTGACTGCTGTGGCAGCGTTCGCCTGCAGTCCGTGCTCCTCCAGTGGCGGGTCCCGTACCGAGTCGGTCTCCGTCTCCAGCCAGTCCGGCAGCTCGGCACGTGAGTGGTCCCTCAGTGAGGGATCGGTCAGCTCCAGCCGCCAGGAGGTGCTCAGCCGGCAGCAGAGGTCAGCCGGGACCTACGACCTGGAGGCAGCGGCCACCGGCTACAACGACAAGTACCACGACAAGTACGGCGGCAAGTACTACTACGACAACGGCCACGGGGCCAGCCACTACGGCAAAAAAGGCTACAAGGGTGGCAAGTACTACGACTCCGGCCACGGCCACCACGGCAATAAGTACGGCGCTCACGGCAGCGGCAACAAGAAGGGTTACTACGGCGATCACGGCAACAGCCACCACGGCTACAAGGGCGGTAGCAAGTACTACGGAGATAAACACGACAAGTACCACGGCAACAAGGGCCACAAGTACGGCAACAAGGGCTACTACGACAAGGGACACAAAAACAACGGCTACAAAAACATTTATCATAAGGAAGAATACCACGCCAAAAAGAAGTTCTACGATAACTATCACGACGACGGCTACCACAACAAGTACAGCGACCATCACGGATATTACGGAGGCAGCGACGGCAAGAAGTACCACGGCGGACACTACAAGAAGGGTCACTACGACCAGAAGAAGGGCCACGACGGCTACTACAAGAACGGCCACGACTACGACAAGTACGGCGGCAGCAAGGGCAAGTACGGCCATGACCACCACAACGCGTACAAGGGCAACCACGGCAAGTACCACAGCGACAAGTACAAGAAGGGCGACCACCACGGCAGCAAATATGGTGGCGGGTATGGAGGCGGGTACGGTGGGGGACACGGGGGCGGGTATGGTGGGGGACATGGTGGTTACGGTGGGGGACATGGGGGTGGGTACCACTGAACGGCAGTATTTAACAGCCTTTGCTAGTTGTGCCGACGCTTGATGCGGCAGGCAGCCGAGCAGAAGTCATTTATATTTGTCCTGTCGGAAATGTTGTAGAAAGGCAACGTTGTCGTGTTTTCGTGTGTGCGCGTTACGTGACTGTTAGTGTGAAGGAAGCTTCATTTTTTTTTTACAATCTTGCATATTGTCTAACGTGTTGTCCTTGTGTAATCCATAACGCGTATGTATGGATGTTTCAAACGAAAAATGACTGCCGAGCCCATATGATGAGCTCAACGACCACAACCGGTAAATGGTGAAATATAACTATACAAAAGCGACATCAAATGCTATTTTAACTTCGTAAGACTTCGGCCTTGACCAATGACCACTGTCATTGCACCATTGCACAGATGTCGCAGAGCGAACGGAGCGAGGTCACGGATGTCCACCGATGACCACCCCGGCCTTGTCCGGTGACCTATCGACGGGGTTCTGAGGCGGGGTCCGGAACAACTGCGGCATCACACCTCTAGAAACGCGCCGCCGTGGCCCGCAGCTGACAAGACCGAAAGTTAGTGCACACCGAGCCCCTATCGTACACATCGTATCTGACCTGCAAGCGCGTCCATCGTTCTATTGGCGCCGCTCTGTGAGCAATCCATACCGCCTCCGGCGGCGGCAATGTCTCTGTCGTCTGGCCGTCTGCCGCCGCTGCGGTCCCCATTCGTCACCATGACGACAGGACCGAACGCCGCCGCCGCTCGGCCGACGCCGATACCTCGGGCCCGTTTGTCGTCGGCCGAGGGGCGCGCGACCCCGTGCCTCTGTGATGCTATCTTGCACCGAATGTCTGGTAATGGCAGCGTTTAGCCGACTGGAGCGGCGCGCTGGTGCGAGACATGGTGTCTCGGCTCGATCCCGATCACAGCGAGCCGTGGTTAGCCGGCAAGGACCTCAAGAGGGTCACAGTACTTACCTGCAGAGGTTTCGTTTGAAACACAGCGGGCTTGCGAATAGCAAGAATGCGGTTTTTAGTGTTAAGTGATTGCCATTTTCAATTTCGCTTAGTTTTTTTTTTTTAAGCAGTATTCCTACAATCTACATATATACCTACTTTCATCATGTTATATCTATGTGTATCGTGCTCTCCGAAAAAAACTACATAAAACGTTTCATTCCAGCTGGTTGTTCAATGCCACCAATTCGTGAATGCTCCGCAGCATTAGGAGACAGCGTGCTTGTGAACGGTGGACTGGCCCCTTAGATATTTACAGGGAGACATACACTATCATTAACGAGTGCACGAGTTATGCCACCGCAACGTGTCATTAAAACAAATTATGACAAAATGCTCCTAACGTATGACATTCTTCATAATTGTATAACTGAACATCATTACTATGTTCTGCAATTTTACTGCCTCGGCTATTTGCCTGAGCAAGTAGGTAATTGAATATTGTCCTTTACTTCGGAACTTCGGTCAAGCCCTGTAATTTCTAACATTCGTGTATGAATGCAGAACTGGCCCAGACACAATTTAATGCATTCTCCTCCAGTAATTTAAGACATTCAGCTCTGCCCCTTTAAGCGTTGGTGCTCTATATTCATTAGAGATGCAATTAAAATGTCTCCGGCCTGCGCGGCGATCATCCCTATGTGCGATCATCCCCGAGGAGCGACCGCCCAGTAATTTGACTTTGCCCGTCCGGCTAAAAATCCCGAGCCATCGCTAGTCCCACAGACATTAACTCATGCTGACACGTCAGACCCTCATTTGCATATAAACAGTCTGTTTCGTCAGTGACCTGGCCGTCTCACACAGACCTGTGCCTGACCACATTGTCTGTGTTGTACCTACAAGCAACGTATCAAATCACCATTGCCCGATTATATGCCACCTTAAATTGCGACAGTGATAATGTGACATACCTACTAGCTTGGCAATTCCTGCTTGACAAAGGAGGCGCGGGTGCCCCGCCCGCGCCACCTCGGGTGTTTTGGTGCGATAGCTCAAAATGTCCATCAATAGAGTTGAAAGTAGACATGGATACACTTTTAATCAAGCAAGGCGCAATCTCTTTTGCCAATAATTGCACTTTAAGGTCAGGTCAGACCATTGACCTACGACCTCATCAGTAAAATTCTGCAAGGCCTTAACCCTCGCCCGTATAGGGGGGGGGGTCGAACGGACCCCCCCCCCCTCGGTTTTTCGCAAATAAAGCAAATAACGCAAATAAAATAATAACTCGCGTAAAAAGCGGCCGATCACGGCGCAACTTTCAGTACCCTCGCGTTAATCAATTTTACACCTACCCTGAAATTTTCATGACCCTGACCCTAATGACCTAGGTCAGGTCATTGACCTTTGATGACCTCGGTTCACTTTTTCGAGTTTTACATGTTTCTAGGCCAGTTTTTGGAGCTGAATTCGAACTTAGCACCCATATAAACATTTACGAAGTAGTTTTGGTGCCTTTGTAACATGTTACGAAGCTGTCAGAGGCGGTTGCCACCTACTACGAATACCCTTACTGGTTGACCTGACCTGACCTGACCCGACCTGGCCTAAATGCATGAAGACATCATCTGTGATCAAAACTAACATGATATTCGTGATCAGCACCCCGAAAAACCCCATAGCAGCTACGCTTTACGACTTTCTAACACGTCCCGATTTTCCCGACTTTTGAGTCATTGACCTGACCTGGAAGGTCAACCGATGACCTAGGACCTTAAAATTGGGTATCATTGGCTTCCTCTCGTCACGGGCAACACGCTCGTTTTTTCCGCGAAGCTCTAGCTCGATCAGGGGCGAAACGGCAAGGGGGGCCAACGGCCCCCCCCCTTTATACGTTCGCGGCTGGAAAAACACCAATACGGGCGAGGGTTAACCTACGCCCCAGTGGAAGGGGGGAGGGCATATGTTACCACCCTGTCGCGTTTTTTGTGTGTGAATAAAAAAACCGCGGCACGTAGCGCCGCGCCGCTAGGAGTACCTTTCTGTACATCAATTTTGGACAATGTGTGAAATTTGTGACCCCAGGTCATGTCAGATCAGGTCACCAGGTCAAGTTAACTGACCAAGCCTAAAAAAGTTTGCAATCGTGTCCAGCCTACAGTGTTTGTCAGAAAGGTTTTAAACTTGGTGGAATGCATGATGTTATGAGCGCCTATAATTTGTATATCTCGGATTTTTATATCCGTGACCTAAGGTCAGGCCAGTGGCGTGATTTTACCATTAAAAATTACCATTATTGCTGCCTCTCCTGCTCCTGACGGCTCCGCTGTCGCCACCACCACCAGCATTCGTAAATTTTGCAATGGTGGCCGCCCTTGATTTATCGTCACTATCATCTGTTATATTTTGTCATGCAGGGATTAAGTTTGTATATTCATGAATTATTTTAATGATAGGCTACGGCGAAGTGAAAGCATTTAATGCTGAAATATTGTGGCAGAGCTCGACAGCAGGCAGCTCCCTGGGTACGTTCAATCGCGCCCGTGTCTAGTTAGTTCCGTTCTACCGTTCCTGAGGTGGGCTCCTTCCCGACTACTCGATCTTTAGACCCTCTTGGCAAGCTAAGTGTGCCAAATCCATGACAAAACCACAAGCCACCGACCACGATTTAAATCTTTCAATATTACCAGAAGTGCTTCTCCGGTTCAGTTCAGTTCAGTTCAGTATATTTTGGTAACCAAGAACAACAAACATCGGAGAAAATAATCGTGGATCGGCGCAAAAGCAAAATGCTTAAATCAAAGCGCCTTTCCTACAAAACATAAACACAAATAAACGCACAAAAAATGAAAAATTAACACGAAAATTAAGTGCAAAATAAAACCACCTGGCAACAGGTCACGACGGCCCCGCCAGTAGCCCGCCGAGCAGCCCTCCGGACATACCTAGTCATAGGTGTCCGGGCCCCGCGTAGCAACATAGTCCGGTGCTAGTGACCAGATGGTTATATGGTGTTTGGTGACTTCCACAAATTGCGATGACGATTTTATCGACAATTTCTTATCACTAGGACAATGCAAAACTATGGGTTTTCACAGTTGTGGGTATGCATACACCTAACACTAAACACGGCTAGGAGCATATCGTGATTACCTATCACAATTCCACGTTCATTGAAAAGGAGAATAAAAATATTGAATGAATTAGGTACACCATAAACGAGCGGAATGACACACCAGTCCCGCCTTGATTTCGTTCATGAAGACATTACGTTGCAAGCCCCGATCAACTGGTGCAGTGGACACAGTCCGAGGTGGCCGGGTGCCCTGAATTATTCTCCCGTTTTATCTTCATTATCCATAGCTACTGTCTGTCGGTGTTCGGCGTATGTGGTCAGACGGAGAAGCGTCGGCTACAAAAGCTGGTAAACTTTGCCGCGCGAGTGCTGAGCGGGCGACGCAAACATCAGCGCGTTGCTGACGTCATTTGTCATGTCTGATGGCTCACTGCTGAGCAGCTTATTCAGTACCACAGGATTATGTCCGTACATCGACTTGTGACACACCGTGTGCCAGCGGTGCTTGCTGAAACCATTGGTCCCCCAGCGAGCCGGCTGCATCAGCACGACACTCGAGATGCCGACAGCTTGTCACTGCCGAGCATACATACGGAGGCGGGGCGGAATCGGCTGTGCTATAGCGCCGTGCAGGGCTATAACAGCGTGCGCAGAACGCAGGGCACTGTGAACAGGGCAGCCGTGAAAAGACACCTGAGGTCCGAGCGGTCGGCGTCCGGTAACTGAATAATTTTAGATGTTCCTATGTAACTGGTGCTCTTTATCTTCTTTTAGTTCATTTTAACCTTTTAACCCTGTTTAAGTAGCTGCGTGTGAATGTTTACTCATGTCTTATTTTGTGACGTGCGGAAGTGAAAAGCCACACTTTTGAGTGGACCTTTTGTGAATAAATATCTATCTATCTATCTATTAATCAGGCAGTGAGTGACACCTGCCGGCCATCGGTCACGGGGCGCCGCCCATCACGGAGGGCCGAATCAC